CAGCTTTGTACTGAGTTTTGAAATCAAAAGTGTCAGTCCTCCAACTTTGCTCTTCTTTTTCAAGATTGTTTTGGCTACTCATGGGTCCCTTGAATGTCCATAGGAGGTTTAAGATCAGTTTGTAAGTTTCTGCAAGGAAATCAGTTGGGATATTGATAGAGACTGTGTTGCATCTGTATTGCTATCTTAACAATAATGTCTTCCATTTTATGAACATTGGCTATCTTTTCATTAATTTAGGTCTTCTTTAATTTCTTTCAACAATGTTTTTGTATTCTTCTGAGTGTAAGTTTTTCCCTTGTTTTGCTAAATTTGTCTCACAATATTTTATTCTTTTGTTGTTTTTCCTCTTTTATTTTTGTTTAGAACATATTCTAAAGTAATTTTGTTTACTTTCACCTTTTAAATGTGGCCAGTAGAAAATTTAAAATTACATAGGCAGCTCACACTATATTTCTACTTGCCAGCGCTGTTCTAGAAGAGCAAAGCTGAGATTAGGGAAAACGAGGAACGCAGAGCGATGGGAGATGTTTAGGATGCTCGTGGAATTATGACTCTGGCATCATGTTGGTGAAATCTGGTCTAGAAGTTTTGCTTACTATGGAAATCACAAGTCTTGGAGAGCTTCTGATGGCACTCGGAGACATGCGTAGCCACTCATCCTGTCCCTGTTCCATGCAGAGGGAATTTAATCAGCTGTGACCTTCAGAGTCCACAGTGAGTTCTCGGCCCTTGGGTCTACAGAGTAGTAAAAGTGACATAGTCTGAGCTCAGACAAGAAAAACCAGGAAACAAGATAAGGAAAGACAGCTCTTGATCTCAAAACCTCAAATCTTTTCACGTTACAACTAGGAAAAGGAATACCAGAGCATTGCTGTCAACCCTGGACATAGGCTGACTCATCCCTCACCACTTGTGCTCCTCCAGTTAGCACTGTCTCAGGGAAACCTTCCCTGGCCTTCCAGAATTTGTATCGATGCTGCCTCAGTGTATGCCCTTGGTGTTTCTGGTACACAGACTTGGAGTTGCCTGCTTACTCTTCTTGCTTCTCTATAGACTGTAAACTTGTCAAGCATAAAAAATAACTTGTTAACCATTGAACCATCTATATGAGGGATTGGAATGATAAATATTTAGCAAAGGAATGAATGAATGACTTTTACCTTTCTTCTTTCATTCATATATATATCCAGTTTAAAATGGAATTGGAGTTGCTGTTCTAGAGGAACAGTCTCAAACCTTTGGAATGCTAAAATAGCAAAATAACTTTTGGATTGGACCTAAGGCAACATTGTGTTCCCCAGAATTGTTTGCAAGGAAAACAACAAAGCAGATAGGACTCCTGGACTGATGACAACTGTACTGAAAATTAAAAACATTGTTTTGAATTCACGTCACTATGTAAGTTTATCTGCACCAATAAAAATACCTTCCTTCAACAGATGTAATCATTCCCCTTCCCTTTGTCATGCATAACCCTTGCTTTTGTCTCCTAATCCAATCAGTTTGGATTTGGATTTCTGCCCAAATCTGAGTTTGGGTTTCTGTCTGAATCAGTGCTTCCTGAATAGCTATTCTTTTCTGATCTCAAATGAATGCAGTTGCCTCTTACTTTGGTCTTTATTTTTAGTTACTATTTCTTTGGAAGTGAATAATTTTACAGCATTATATTAAAAAAGAAGACAGACAGGTGCTTTGTAAGTGTGTGTTAGTTCAGTGGACAGAGTATTAAGTTTGTTGTCAGAAAAGCAATATGAGTTTCCAGTTCTGTGCTCTGTTATTTACTAGCTATGTGACCTTGAATAAGTCACTTACCTTCTCTGAACTTCAGCCCTCATCTATAAGATCAGAGAGCTGTAGGATTCCTTCCAGCCCTAATATTCTGTGAACTGTTGAAAACAGGGCAAATCTAGCTTTTCAATGTAGGCTTGTTTCCAGAAAAGCAATTCAACAGAACAGCTGCAATCTCCAACATTTTGCAGGGGCCTCTGCCTCCCCCCTCTCCTCCATGTCTCAGCAAATATTAATAGCCAAGGGCCTCGGTGAGTGTGGTTTTTAATAGAATCCAATTTCAGTCCATTTAGAGTGGGACTTTTCATGCTGACTTGGTAATTTGAACTCTGTCAGGCCTGAGGGACTGACTGCATTTTCCCAGTCTCAGCTGCTGGCCCTGGGGCTGGAGTTGGGGAGGGGGAGCATGTAGGCACTGGGAGTGGAAAGCATCTTAATTAAAGTGGCTGCAGATGAGCTGTTTTGACCTCACATCCAGTCTTGCCTTTTGTAGCCCTGAGTGGTCAGATGAGGATCCCAGGGCAAGGACTACTCTCTTTTTTGACAGTTGCCTTCACCTTGAAACTCAAAAGCCACTGGCCTCTGGGCGGAACCCCAGGAGGAAAACTGTGTTGATTTTGGGGTGTGGCTAAAAGACAACTGGTTTTGAAAAGCATCAGAATTATTCTGCCTGATTGCTATAAATCTTCTGCTATGCTCGGAGAAAGCGTGCTGTAGAATAGGGGCTTCCTCTGCCCCGCGTCTGTCACCCAAGTAGCAGTGTTGTTTGGACAGAGCAATCCAAGGGCCTGCTGGAAGCTCTCCTCCTTCTAGAGTCCAGTGTGGGACTATGGGAGACTGACAGGCAGGTATGAGCAGCCACACTATAAATGAGGAAACAGAGGCCCAGGGTGGGGGGAGAGGAGCGAAGGTTTATTTCATGTTGACTCTGTGCTAGGCACTTAGCTAGGAGGCAGGAGTTTCTTAGTCCTCCCGACATTTTTGGGTTTCTATATAATAATATTGTCCTCACATTTAAGTGAGGCTAATGAAAACCTGAAAAGTCGAGACTGCTCCAAGGTCACACAGCCAGTAAATGTCAAAGCTGGTATTCCAAGAAAGCTCCCTTTATCCACGCCAAAGATCGCATGGTTTGACACAGTGAAGTTGGCGGCTCTGATTTACCTGTTGGTCTAGCTCACCAGCAGCTTTTTAACCTGGCTGGTCATCAGAAACACTTCAGGACTTAAAAAAAAAAACAACTATAGTATCTGGAGCATTCTTACCCGTGAGTCTGACTCCGTGGGTGGGTTTAAGTCAGAGCCTGAGACTGTGCATTTTTAAACAGCTACTTCCAATGATTCTGATGTTTTGGAAAGCACAGCAGTGGAGCACATGGCTTCTCTTATAACCCGAGCCTCCTAGGATTTCTTCAGTTCTCAGAAGCACAGACCCAGTCCAGCCCTGCATTTACCTCAAGTAACATTTGCCACTGAAACCATTATTTATTCATTCCAGGCTCAATGCTCAACATTTATTGAGCACTTACTATGTGCAGGCATTGTGCTAGACATTCTGGCTGTAAAAATGAGTAAACCACAGTGCAGCCTTGAATAACCAGATAGTGAGGGAGACCAACGTAAATAGGAAATTCTGCCTCACTGTAGCAAATGCTGGCCAGAGGTAGGCTCATGTGAGGAGCTCAGCCTAAGGGGTCAGGGAAGGCCTTCAAGTTGTGATGCTTAAAGTTCTAAAGGAGTTGGCAAGGCAAAGAGGGAGGTGGAGGAGTGAGGCATGGGCGGCTAGACAGGGGGAACAGCATGGAAAGGCCCAGAAACCCAGAACAATGGGTTCAGGGAGCAAAAGGAAGCTGTTCAGGGGTGGAATGCAGGGCACCTAGAGAAGACCAGCAGGCGAGTCTGGGAGAGTCAGTGGGAAAAATCACATGGAAGACTTTGTGTGTTATGCTAAGCAGTTTGGCTTTCAAAGTGATGAGAAGCCACTGCAGGTTTTTAGGCTATGGAGCGACATGACATAATCGATGGTGGTTTAGGAGGGGCGTGGACAGAAATGCAAGAGGGAGCTGTAGGCAGAAGAAGCTGGCAACAGAGGAAAAAATTAATTGCAGAATTAAGAATTTATGTATGTCAAAAAAAGCACCATAAACAAAATTAGGAAGCAAAGCACTTGGAAAGCTTATTCGCAGTGTTTCTTGACAAAAATAATATTCTTAATAAAATTACATGTTCATAATAAAGGTAAACATACAAAATCAAATAAATAGAACATTCACAAAGAAAGAAGTACAAATGATCGACCAGCACGGGAAGATGTTAATCAGTAATAATCAAAGAAATGCAAGATCAAATAACATTGACATCCTGTTGTTTTCCTATGAAATTGGAGATCTGATAAGTGCTAATCCCCATGACTAGTGAGGGTGCAGAAAATGGGGAGCTCTCGAGACTGCAGGTAAGAGAGTGCTTTGGTTTGAACCTTCTGGAGGGCAGTTGGCAACATATATCAAAATTCTGAAAGGTAGTCAAGCAATTTCTCCCTTGGATTTTTTTCTTTTTATCCTAAGGAACTAGTTATATGTATGTGTAGAATGTAGCCACAAGAATGTCTGTTGCAATCTTATTTACAATGAAGATTGGGAACAAAGGACATAATCACTATGAGGAGATTGGTTACCAAATGAGGACCCATCTGTGTGATGGGGAAGCTGTTGAAAGAGTTTGAGAGGCATGCAAAAAAGGTTACATTCATGGTATAGTAAGTGAAGTAGCACAAGGCGCAAAAAACCGTGTCCACACACTACCATTTGTGTGACAAAAGAATATATACATGTGTTTGAAAATGCTTCCGTGTCTCTGGAAGGGTACATGGGTGATGGGAGGGACACCAGATGTCAGATGGTGGGGAAGGAGGTTCACTTCCCACTATAGAGATTTTTGTAATTTTAAAATTTTGTGTCTGTGTAGGTATTACAGATTCTAAAATATAAACACATTTCAAAAAATAAGTTATTCAAGAGTATATATGGGTATACTGTGTGATCTTTTCGTTGAAAACAAACTGTGTATTGTGTAGTTTGACCCCAAAAGAGCCAAACTATACTTCCAAAGGATTATAATGTTTGTCTTGGGTGGTAGAATTATGGGTTGGAGTCTGTCTCCCCCCCGCCCCCCCGCTTAAAATTCTACAATACGCATGTGAGGCTTCCAGAATAATGACAAGAAAAGTATAATTTTTTTCCACGAAGAGTCTATCACAAAAGTCCAAGCAGGAGATAACAGAGCAGTTTGGGTCCAGGTTAGTGCACCGGGTAGTGTTCAACAGTGACACCTGCAAAGGAAGCGCGTAATTAAAGGCTGGTCCCTGGTTTGGGGAGGTGTGGGGAGAAGGAAGCTGAGGGTGAACACACCTGATTTTGCTGAACAGCCCTCTGAAGTCTCTGTTGAATAGATGAACAGGAACTTCACCAATCACCCCAAACATTAGCTACTACGCCCAGGCAGCCTCTTCCTTTGAGATCATTTAACTTTGGGTCACAGCGAGTGCAGTTCCAGGAAGCATGTGGATCTGAGTCAACAGACAAGCAGCCTGTACACTTGTACTAGGAGGTCCCACGAGGTTGTCTTCACCTACTTCTGGTTTTCAACCTTTCTCTTTGGAAGGATGATAACGGTCTTATCCCCATCTGTCCAGCCCTGCTGTAACTCACTCTCCAAGGCAAGTCCTCTCTCCTGATCCATGCTGAGAATGGTTCCTCTCAGTCCTTCCTGAATGCAAGACCAAAGGAAGACCCTGCAGTTTACTTCAACAGGTCCCCTCTGACCTCCTCTTGTCCTTCCAGGCCTAACAAGCAGTTCGCCAGCTCTCAGGCTTTCTGGGCTGGAGGCTACGGGGCAGGGGAGTTTGCACGTTTGCCAGTGCTGTGTACCCTGCAGGGTGGTTTTGAATTGGGGCCGAGTGAAACCATTTTGGAGGAAGAGGGCAGAGAGAAGGACGTGGTAGAGGTGGGGTAGACTGTGGCAGCTGTGACAGCTTTTTCCCTTTGCTTTGTCCCCAGAGGCTGAGCTCCTGGCAAGCTGCTGTGGGCCCCTGGACATTTCTAGCACTTTCTTCCAGTCCCCATTGGAAGCCTTTGAGGAGCTATGTGAATATAACTTGTGCTGCTAGCTTCTGCGCCCCTCAGCAGGGATTAGATCCTGCAGTGGTGGAACCTCTGATTAAACAAATAACCCGTAATTAACTTTGTGTTTCCTTTCCATCTTTGACTATAATTGTGACTTTTCCCCAGTGCCTGGGGCTGGGGTGAGGAAAGCTAGGTGGAGTGTTTGGATTCTACCCATCAGCAAGTAGAATGAACAATACACAGAAATAACTGCTGGGTCTCAGCCATCTTTTCCTGGCCTGTCACTTCCCTGTCCACTAGGGAGTTCAGTGTTAGGGACTTTTTTTTTTTTGCCTTGGGCATTTTAAATACAAGAGGCAGCTCAGGCACCACCATTGACATAGTCAAGGCTTTTCAACTTAATACACATGGTTCTGCTCTTGAATGGTTGTACCTGCTCAATATACTCTGGAGAGCAGCAACTATAGTATATAGTTCCTAGCTAGAGCTCTGGAGTCAGACAGACCTGGTTCAAACCCTAGCTATTCCACTTAAGGCCATGCAACCTTGGGGGAGTTAGTTTTTCTGGTTTCCAGTTTTCTTATCCATCAAATAGAAATGCGATCTCATAGGAGAACTGCATGAAAGAAATGAGATTGTACATGTAAAGGTCTGAAGGTAGTGCATTTAATAAATGCTAACTATTAACATTATTGCATCTGTATATATTTTAATTGTACAATACTGTCTCTTTCACTAATCACACAAAAAAGACATGAAAGTGCTTTGAAAAATTTAAAGCATCATATAAATTAAAGGTGTCATTGGTAATCATCTCGTATGAGTCTTTCTCAACTCCTTCGTCTCCTTTAAGACTGGGATGATATCCTATGTCCCCCAGCATATTGCACAACGGTAGGCAATCTATAAGCCCTCAGGAAATGTTTCTTAGTTGACCGAAGCAACTCGGCATAAAGAGCATAGCTATCAGGAGACGAGGCTGGGATAAGATTAGTTTAAGGCAGGAGAGCCAGTCTGCAGTCATCACTTACTCATTCAACAAATATTTGTTGAACACATTCTCTGTGCTAGATATTGAGTCCAGCTAATGTCATCAAAAAGAGGCTGTACAAGTCCCACAAAGCCAAGTCCCTGGGCAGTCTCCCCAACCCCAGCCTACGTTAAAAGCTCAAAGGCGGCAGCCAACATTCTGTACTGCTGGACAAACAGTCTAGTGCTTTGGGGGGAGCCCCATCCTGCCTGGCTGTAAGTAGCTCTGAGTGAGCTGGGGGAGGGAGTGAAAGTGGGGGAGTGGGCTGCTTCCAACAGAAATGACAGGAACTGCTGCCTGTTCATTTGTTTTTATTTACACTTAATTAGTCCACAGTTCAGTCCCCCAGTCTATACAATGCTCTCCCCCTTAAACGTCCTCTCTCCCTCCCCCCATCACCTATGTGGTCAAGCCTTGGCCCACTTTACCCTGCCCTTCTGCTGTCATGGCTGCTGGCTGGAGTGGGGGGATGGGAGAATGGCATGTGTAGTCACAGAGGGCACTGAGAGTGGGCTTCAGTGGCATGTGAATCCTGGCAGAGTCTCAGCTCCACTAGGGGGAGAGAAGAAAGCACAAGCCAAGGGAAGGAGGGAGGCAGGGGCTGAGGTTACTGTGGGTAGGGGTGGGGAAATCCAGTGTACACATTCGCAGTCTCTCGCCTGGCTTAACCAATGCTTCTGGTGTTTGTCTCATCCCTGGATTGGTCACAGTTGCCTTGAGATGCTCTGGTCTGTCAGAAGGGTGTGGAGGGTCCAGCTAAGCGCTCCATGCCTGCTGCCTTTGGAATGGTACACCTGCCAGGCTCCGTCTTTGTCAGAAGCACAGGCATTCCTGGTCTGTGAGAGTCCTCCCCAGCTGTCCCTGCAGAAATTAGGTCCCTCTCAGCGGCTGACCTACCACAGAAGAGGGTATCTCCATTATCAGGGCAACACACTCGATTCCAAATTTGCCCCTCCTTTTTCACGCTGGGAGTAGGCAGTGAGTTGAGGGGCAACAGGAGGAAGAGGTGGGAGGGGGGATGGATGGAAGAAGTGGGAAGAAAGGACCAGAAGCCAGGGAGGGGCTCTCCACCAGGGGATGCCGGGGAGTCCAGGTTCGGCGCAGGGGCGACTCTAGACAGGCATTGTCGTTACATGGCTTCCTTCTCTCTCTGGGAGCATCTGCTGAGCTTCATCTCTGTCAGCTGGATGTACCGAATCACATTGGTGTCTGTGAAGAGAGAAACACTCTTTAGGGGACACTTGGTGAGGGAAGCCCCGGGTCTGCACAGAACCTGTCCACAGCTGTGTCTGCAGACTATGGACGGGCCACACTCACTCGGCCAAGGTCCACGGTGGCTGAGAGGCAACTGGGATGTCGGCATTCCCGACACGGCCTCCCCGAGCAAGTGTGGACGGGTCACCCTGACCCAGGGACGGATGGCAAGGAGGGGAGGAGGGGCTTCTCCCTCTGTTTCTGTGAAACAGCACATCCCGGTGGTCCTGAGCGAGCACAGTCAGCGGACGCTCTGTGTAGAGTTCAACCCCGCGCGTTACCAGCTTCTCTGAGCCTCGCGTCTTGTCTGCAAGAAATAGCTTCCATCGTTGTATGCCTACTACATGCCATGTTTTTAACTTTCATTATGTCCTTTAATCCTCATTGTAATCCTACAAGGTATATGGCATCATCCTCACTGCGACAAAAGGGAGAACTGGGCCCCGGAGAGGTTCAGAAGTCATCCAAGGAGACGCACGGTGTATGGTGCATCTGACTCCAAAGCCTGCCCCTCTTGGGGCCGTGACCCCTTTCTTGTGAAATGGCTGTGAGCACCAAAATAGGTTTGTCTAAAAGTGCTTACTCTAATGATGAGTAAATATTAGTTGAATGTAAATTTTTTTAAATTGAATTGTTTAAAATGACTTTGCTTCATTATCTTATTTTTGTCCTCATAAGTGGAGTTGATCACCTCACCTCGAGCCGGGAATTATCCCCAATCCCAGTTCTTAAACTGGGGAGCAGGGTATGACATGGAATAGCCGCTTAGCGCTGCACATACCAGCAAGTACGGGTGACAGGACTGCCCAAGACTTTACTTCCCGAAGCAGAAATGAACGCTACAGGCAGGACACTCGAAAACGCCAGGGGCATGGCATCCAGAACCGCACTGGTACCCAGTACGTGTTCAAGAAAGCTCTGTTGAATGACTCCAGTTCTTAACCCTCCAGTGGGTTACAGTACAGTTGGGGGAACACAATCAATATACAGAAAACTAATCAATACATAAAAATAGGCCTGGTTGGTGTGGCTCAGTGGATTGAGTGCCAGCCTGCAAACTGAAAGGATGCCGGTTTGATTCCCAGTCAGGGCACATGCCTGGGTTTTGGGCCGGGTCCCCAGTTGGAGGTGCATGAGAGGCAACCATCAGTGTTTCTCTCCTTCTCTTTCTCCCTCCTCCTCCCATAAAAATAAATAAATAAAATGTTTTAAAAAGTGAAGATATTAGTGTTCTGACAAAAATAAAGAAAAAAGTATATGTCTGAATATTTGCAAATTAATCCTAAAGTCCTTAAAGACATCTAGAAAGGAGAAGCATGTTAAAAAAAAATCGGCCACATGAACAACAGTGGCAACATTAAGTCAAAGTCATTGTTGAACTGTTGCCTCTTGAGAAAGGCTCTTTCTAAGCTCCAGGGCTACACCAGCACCCCATTTACTTTTTCTTGATCCTTTTACTCTGCTTTATTTCCTTCATAGCACTTAACGCTACTAAATATTACATTCTCTATCTGTCCATTTGCTTACTGTCCATGTCCCTCCATTATAACATACACTCCTTGAAGGTAGCAACTTTGTTTTGTCCACCACTATCTATCCAGCACTTAGAGTAGCTCCTGGGCCATTGTAACTGCTTAATAAGTATCTGTGGAATCAATGAATGGCTGAGCTAGTGGGTAGGAATTTAAGCAAATGGTACAGTTAATGGTGCTCTAAGGAATGCGACCTGACTGGGGATCTGACCATGCTTCCTGGAAGATACTGGGCTCAGCACCAAATCATCCCTTTGTATTATGTCTTGCCAACTCTGTGAGCTCCTCACAAGCAGGGGTCCCCTTTTCTCATCCACACCCCTGGTGCCCGGCACAAATCTCGGCACGTTGTAAGAATTCAACATGGGTTTATTGAACAAGTGAAGAAAGCTGGATTCTGGGTCGGAAGAGACACGTTCATCTTTTCCTTATTGTATGTGAAAAGAAGCAGTGCCCAAGGGCCCTGGAACCCAGACCCCAGGCAAATGCATGGACTGTTCGCTCTCCTCTTGCCAGGTCCTAGCACCCACCTGACCCCTAATCTGCCATTTCTGCACCTGCCTGGCCCTATACCATGAAAGCTGTCCATCTCATTGAGAAGGCGCCCGGCACTGCCAGAGGGGGCTGGCAATTAGAGAACATCACTTTCTGCTTTACCTGTTGGCTGTCGGGTCCTTGCTTCTTTCAGGTAGTAGAGTGCTTTGTCATAGTCCCCAAGGTGGTAGAAGGCCACGCCAGACCGATAAAGGGCTTTGAAGTTCTCCCCTTCCTTCTTCAGGACTTTGAGGCAATACTCCTTGACTCGTTCATAGTTTACCAGCTCTGCCTGGAGCAGGCAGGCTACAGAAGGAGAGAGGAAGAAGGGGAAATGCCATCAACACACAACAGTAGGAGTGGAATGCCTCTCTTCCGTTCTTTCTCCCCATCCAGAGAGGAGTTAGGAGTGTTGGGGCTTTACATGGGGGTTCATGCCATGAACCATGTCATCAGATAATCCTGGGTTCTAGGACCCAGTTTCATCAGCTACAAGCTGCATGACCTTGAGCAAGTTACTTAGTCTTATGGGTTGAATTGTGCACCCCCCTGCCACCCAGCAAGATACGTTGGATTCTGAACCCCCAGGACTTCAGAGTGTGACCAAATTGGGAAATAGGGTATTTACAAAAGTAATGAAGTTAAAGAGGCCATTAGAGTGGGTTCTAGTGCAATATTACTGATGTCCTTATGAAAAGGATGCTATAGGCTGAATGTTTATGCCCCCACCCCCAAACTCACATGTTGAAAACTAATTCCCAAATTGGAGGTGGGGCCTTTGGGAAGTGACTAAGACGCGATGGTGGGGTTTTCATGATTGTGATTAGTATTCTTGTAAGAGAGCTCAGAGAGCTCTTTCACCCCTTCTGCCTTGTGAGGACACGTGAGAAGACAGCCATCTGAGGCCCAGGAAGCAGGTCCTCCCCAGATACCAAGTCTGCTATCTGTGTCTTGATCTTGGACTTCTCAGCCTCCAGAACTGTGATAAATAAGGGGTTTTGGTGTGACCCATGCAGTCTATGGTATTTTTGCTATAGCAGCTGAAATGGACTAAGACAAAGGGGAAATTTGGACACTGAAACAGACACACAGAGGAAAGGCTTAGGGAGATATCTACAAGCCAACAAACTCCAGAAACTAGGAGAGAAAAATGGGACATATTCTCCCTCATAGCTCACGGAAGGGAGCCAGCCCTACCAACACCTTGATCTTGGACTCCTAGCTTCCGGAAGTGTGAGGCAATAAATTTCTATTGTTTAAGCACCAATGTGTGAGACGTTTGTTGTGGCAACCCTAGGATTAAGCTATAAGAGGCAATCCCAATTCTAATATTTGTCTAGTGCCAGATGCTTGTCTCTCTACTTTACTTGCATTACCTGATATAATCCTTGGACAACTATGATGCAGGTCCTATTCTTATTCCCACTGGTCAGATGAGGAAGCTGAGGCTCAGAGAGGTTGAGTGATTGCCCAAGGTCACACATCAGGAAAGTGGCAAGGCTGAGATTTAAACCCATGCTGTCGGACTCCAGAGCCCAAGTTCTTTATTGACTTTGTTGAGAGGATTATGTAAAATAATGGTCATAAAGTATTTAACCACAGGGCTTGGCACATCGTAAGCACCCAAAGTATTATTTAATATTATTATAATTCTCTTCAGCCCTGGCATCCTGCAGGGATGACTGTCTGTGCAGTTCCTGGTAGCAGAGGCCTCCCCGTAGGCTACTGCCCCGGCCCGTACAGGGCACCTCTGTGGACATGAGTAAGCGAAGGCTGGCAGGTACCAGTGGGTGGGCTTCTTTCCGCTCCGCAGTCAGCCATGTTCCCTGGAAGCTTTCTCTCACTGATGAGCCACAGGACAGGGACCAGGGTGAGGAAGCTTGTACGACCCTGGAGAGGGAGCACCTTCCAAAACTTAGAGCCCTACTAGCCTCACCTTCACCCCAGCCCTGCCGACCTACATCCACCTGCAGTCAATCACTCAGGTATTGAGAGGGCAGGGACTAAGGGCAGGGACTGTGTTGGAGGCACAGGTCGGCTTCTCCTAAGCAGACTGAGGAGGCAAAATGGCTCCTTCCTGCCATGACCCGGCTGGGTGGGGCGGGCCAAAGTGCTGGTGCTGCTCTTCGGCGCCCAGCATCCCCTGTACCTCTGATGTTCATCTTCAGGGGTCTGACTTCAGCTGTTTTGATCTCTTAAATAACTTCCCAGGGATCCAAATGGCTAATTAGGAGGGCGGGCCTTTCATTTGGCACTGTGGACCAAACCAAACCAAACAATACAAAACAAAACCACATCCCTTTTCAGTGTGAGGGGGAGGTGAACCAAAGTTTTTCCAGTTGAAGGTGTGAGAACCAGGAAGTGGAAGAGAATGGGCCCAGATCTAGAAACTGACCTGTCAGGTTTCACTGGCCATGGAGGGGGGGGACAGAGAGCCAAACAGTCGACCAAAGCAAATGCAGCAACTAGCTGCTAACCCCTGGGGGCCTGGGCGTGGGTGGCTGTAGTCACAGACATCTCTATCTGCTAACCCGCCAGGTCTGCTGAGCTGTTGCCGCCAGCCCCCCTCATGCCTGCCCCCTCTCCCCCCACCAGTTTGCCCAGGGGCTTAGAGAGCTCCGCAGGCTGGGAGGGGTTTCTGTCATGAGGTTCCTGGGTGTGAACCTCTGGCTGCTACCTATGAGGGACTGGGCTTCAACAGTGTTCCCAGAGCTAGAGGATTTCCTGTCTGTAGCTTCCCCATGGTCCCCTGGTATGATTTTCGGCCTCTTCCCATCCAGCCCTCCACCTACAAACAGACACTTCTGTTTGCTGGCCTCAGCAGTCTAGGGTATGACCGTTCATTAAAAAAAAAAAAAGCAAACAGTTTTTGGACATCTAAAGTTGTGGGGGCTGGGGGCGGGGGCAAAGCAGCCTGGAAATGAAAAAGATCTCTCCTCTCCCAGGGCAAAAGGAACAGACAACCACCAGTTTCTGGGATAGCAATCAATTTCTGGGACTCATTTGGTGAAAATGTCTTGAATTCCCCTACAGATCTGGTGGGAACTGTGATACTTGGCTGTGGTCCAGGGTTCAGGCCTGGTAGGAGGTGGGGCCAGGCAGGTTCCAGGGTGTGGAGCCCCTGCTGGCACCAGGGGCAGAGCCTGGGAAGGCAGAGAAATCTAGAGTTTGCTGGGGGTCCGAATAGGCCGCCATCCAGCTAAGGAACTGGGGCTGGCAGGGGTGCCAGGCCAGAGCTCCTAAGAGGGTCTGAAGTGGAGGGGGTAGGAGCGAATCTGGAAAGCCGCCCTCAGCCCTACATACAGGCAATTTTAGGTACCACTCTAGTGTGGCCAGGGAGCTGTTCGGGATCCGTATAACAAGCCCACAAGATAGATAAACTGGGGTATTTTTAAGGCACACTTTAGAGAGCTGAGACAGTTAAGAAGGAAAGGTTGAACAGCCGTCTTGTGACGTTCCTTCCCTGTGTCCATTCCCCAGGGTCTGGGGGCTGCAGTGGACACTCAGAACAGGCAGGACTGTGCCACTGTGGTGCCCTCATCTCAGCTTTAATCCCTTACCCTGTGTTAGAGGTGGTACTCAGTACCTCACATGCACTGTGTCTTTTAATGTTCACGCGAACTCCATGAAACAGGTTCTATTTTTATGTTTGTTTGTTTTACAGATGATGAAACCCAGTTCCATAGAAATTAAGTAACCTGCTAAAGGTTACTCAGCTGGGAGGTGGTAGGATTATGATATCCACCCACTTCTGCCAGGCTCCCAAGACTGTGCTCTGGACCATGAGTGCCTGCGGGTCTGCATTTGAAGCCTTTGGAAGCCCACATAAGCCCTGGTAGAGGACAGGTCACCTGTGTAAACTGCTTTTGCCTGTGATCCATGGGCATCAAGGCGAAAAGTGATACCAAACTGCACCGGGCACCTTACAGGGCACTGGGATCAGGCAATGAACCAAACGCTCCATCCCGGAGCTGTGGACTGGTGGGGGGAGGAAGGCAAATGTTACATCACTGTTGTAGATACTCCCCTGTGCCAAGAGCTGTGAAGGAGCAGGGATGTATGAAGGGAAGAGCCCTCAACCAGTATCAAGTACCATGGAAGGGCTTCTTGGAAGAAGTGGCATTTAAAGTGAGTTCCAGAGATTGTTTCTCAACCTCAGCTATAAACATTTCAGGCTGGGTAATTTTTGTCCTGTGCCTTGTAGGATGTTTAGCGATGTCCCTGGCCTCTACCCACTAGATGCCAGTGTGACCACCAAAGAAGTGTCTCCAGATATTGCCAAACATTTCCTAAAGAGTAAAATCACCTGTTGAGAACTACTGATGTAGGTGGAAAGGGGAGAAAGGTTTCTAGGCAGAGCCAGGAGAAGTTGGAAAATGAAGATAAAACTGAGGCACAGACTCTTAGGGTCCCGCTGAGGACCTGAGACTTTATTCTTAGGGCAGGAGTCGATTTGGATGATGAAATGGTGGTAAGTAGGTCAACTCAAGTGGAGGCCGGAGACAGGGATTAATTTAAGTGTGGTTTGGGAGATAGAACTGGTGAGCACTGGGGAACCCCTGAAAGGTTTCCCTCTGTGGTTTTATCCTGTGGGTAGAGCCCTTCCTCCAGGATTGTCATTGTGGAATCACCGGTGATCCAGGACTGTCTGTCCGCTGTTGTAACCTGCTGTCTGTTTGAATTAGAGTCTGTAAAAGGATGGTCTCTGTCCTCCCCTGCACAGCACGGATCAGGGTTGTGAAGAGGAGTGGGCTGGGGGTCAGAGCCCCACCTTTGCCACCGAGCCAGCATTAGGAGAACCACGTTTCCTTTCGGGCCCTCAGTTTCCTATCTAGATAACGAGGGGCCTGCACTTCACTGAATTTCTGCCCTTCCTTCCAAAGGAATTCTGTCCTCCCCATTACTTCTGGGGAGGCACCTTCTGTTGGAGATGAGTCAGAACCAGTAGAGCAGTTATCCAAAGGGCTTTGAATGTAAGACAATCCACCTGCTGTGTAGAGATTAAAAAACTTTTTTTATTATTATTACTTTTTTTGGAGTAGAGATCGGATTATGTTCTGACGTGGTCTTCCCGCGAGATCTTCTCTGAAGGGAGTAAGCACACATGTGAATCAGCCCCAGCAGAGGAGGCTGTGGACCTGGGAGGCAGGTCTCAGGCTGGATGGAGGGGGAGCCTGTTCCTGTCTATGGCCTTGACTCTAAGTATATACTTGGACTTGAAGATGCGGTCGTTCAGCCACAGAAGGGGGGCAGGGAGGGGAGACACACCTGCAGTGGACACGTGAAGATGGGCCTGGGCTCCCAGA